ACCACGAGAACGCAACAGATGGTCTTGGTATAGCCTTGTACCGTTATGCGTATGCTATGATGCACCATTAATGCAACATGACGGCTACATAAATTGCTTGTACCATTTGCATTTATGATCACTCGGATTAAATTACACAGCCTATAGGTCGCCTACACATGCATAGAGCACTATTGATAAAGTATGAGTAATTATTTAATGATTGTAAATTGTACCTGATGGATTTGTTAATGAAACAACGCTACAGTTAGAAAACCATGTTAAAATTGTAGCTTTCTAAACACAGAAATATAACTGTAATGAAGTTCTCTTATTGCTGAAATGTATCCGCAACATACTTTTTCCAGTTAGCTTATCAACAACCCTCATAAGAGGTAAGTTGGTTGGGAGGGGAGGGGTAGTAACTATGATATTTTATGGGTTTTATGGAGGAATCGCCGTTAAAACCTTAAAATAAATGTCAAATTCCTAGAGATTAGGTTGGTACCATAATTCCAAATTTATCAGATTCAGAATCATCACATCACTTTTAAACCCACTTTTTGAGGTTAATGGGACCCAAAAATATCCTCTCAAAATCGAAAACTTTTACAAAAACAATACTTTTTACATAGTCTACTATATGGAGGAGAAAAGTAAAAGTAAAATTACATAACAAACATTGTAGTAGAAGCCCATTGATCAATCATATCGGCAACAGTTGCAGTTTTGTAAACGATTGGATTGGTAATTCAATTTCGCTGCAGTCGAAAACAAATATTATCGTAACATCCGATATTATCCGAACGGGTAATCAACTGGAGAAAGGTTTTATTTCAGCAATCGCGATGTTTAGCAAACATCAATAGCACTAACGATTGAGATGTGTTTAGTTTTGTAGAAACATTGGCCTAAAGTAATTAAAACTTGAAAGGGTAGTAAACTAAGGGTGTACATTATACTCTTTGGTCGTACAACCAAATCTCTCTCTAGTAATAGTTTGTCAGTTTAGAGCAAAATAATTCCAGTTTATTCAACTATGTTTGTTTGATTGTAATCTAAATAAGTGTTAGCGAAACCTAGCGATGGTATCACTTTTGACGTAAGTTTTCAATATGGTGTTTGTTTTAACAATTTAACAGAAAACAATCCTTTATGTTAAAACTTGGGTGCTTTGAATTTATATCGCATATCATTTCCTACCCTAATCATGTCTAACTATTTAAATAAAAAAAAAAAAAAAAAAAAAAAAAAAAAAAAAAAAAAAAAAACACATAGGCCCTACTCTTGACAGAAAAATATGATTTTCAAAAGCGTATAGATATAATTAACCCCATGATAAATACAAAAATCAATATGTACGATTGAAACTAATCAGTTCGAAGACACTAATAAATTTAAAAATGGAATGGACCTTATACAACGTCACAACTAACGAATTAAATGTTGAACATTTTGCATTCAAACCAGCAACAGAGCCACACTGGAGAATTTCTATTATGATTCAAAGATTCAAGTCTATTTCAGACTTGTCTCCAACTCAATGGTTTAAGGGTAATTGTTCTTTAAATTAGCCTTCATTAAGTAAACGCTACAACATTGTTCAATAGGACTGCCCCTTGACAACGCTTTGTAAATCTTCTTACAGTCCAACAATGGAATTCAACATTCTGTAATTAATTATGTCATTTGCTTAGCTTCCACGTATTTTTTATCCTTTTAATTTACGAAAGTGGAAATATGTTTGTTCTTGTTTAATTTATTTAATTGACTCATAATTCATCATCTGAAGTTGGTGTAGGAGGGTTATTTAAATTAATCGTCTTAAAACATGCAAAATAATTATTAATTTCTAATTAGGAAACAATGTGTGGGATGCAATAAATACACTTTCTACAAATAAGTGTGGGCGTTCGTTGTAAGTTAATAACTCTACGAATCTTAAAAATGCTATCTCTTAAATTACTATTTTTGGAACAACGAATTACATAATTTTAATTTGTTTTGTGTGAATCTTGTAAATAAGCGATGCAATGTTATATACTTTATGGTTATTTTAAGACCATCGTATTTGGATCTCAGAAATTACTAAGTCTCGTTGTCCTTCCAAAACTTTTGATAAGTTTGGTTTATTAAAATTAAATCATAGTTAATCAATTACGTCAACATTTTATGTGAATATACGTATACTTTACTGTCTAATCTTTGTTGAAACATTGTTGAAAAATCTAGATGTCTATAGGCCTATGCGTTATACAGCTTTTGAAGTAAATTATGTCCAAGGGTAAAAATAATACATCATTCTAACATTTACAAGCATTCGATGTCATTTTTCATAGCCAATATAAAAATATTTTTGAATAAACAAAAGAGCATACGCTTTGAAGGTGTAGTTTGGAATTAACTGCATCAAAAGGTGAATTTGATTTACATCGAGTGAATTTTTAATCTCGCCGTTCCTAATAAGATTTTGATTAAAGTTGGAAGATTCGCCTTCATATAAATTACCTGTAAGGGTAAAACATTGCAGTTTTTGTAACCGTTGCCAATTTTAGTGGAAGTTTACATTATTACAAATTCATAATGTGGTCATGTTTAATATATCCTTTATTCTTACTATAAAGATTATAAATTGAACAATACTACGTAAAAATACTGCACTGTTAAATTAGCTAAGTTTTGTTATTGTAATTTCGTGATTTTTTTTTTACTCTGTTATTTTTGTAGAAAGGTACAAATAATACATTTTAAAAGCTTATTTTTTACGTAACTAAGAAATAACGGTAACTTATATAAAAAACGTTTTAGGCAGTTTTTTAAATTATGTTTTTAACAGACCCATTCTGATAAATTAACATTGTCACACAATACGCTAACCTTATTATAACAACTGTGGTCATTTATACAACCAGACACTTTACAGAAAGATAAAGTTACTAACATAAACTTTTTATTTAAAATATAATTTGTATTGCCAAATTCTTCAATTAACCTATGTAAACGCTTTGTTTAGTGTCTTCGATCACCACCAACACAAACTTACCCTTAAGAGTCATTATATCAAGATTAAAAATTTAATATCCTGACACTTGTATTCTACATATTTTTCCCAACCAAGTGTATCTAGTATATAAAAGCGTGCACGTAAACCTTCCCCTTACTGTAAGTATTTTATTTTTTAAGAAGACAATTTTAAAATGTTTCCTCGTGACAGGGATGCTGCATTGCATTCATCTTATCCAGTCACATCCGCATCTGTGATGCTGTAACGCAGGGTCTGATAAAACGTCATTTTTCACCAAGACAATATTCTCACAATTCTCAGGTGGATGTTCTCAGAAGACGCTCATTTCTCAGTCGCGCGCCTACATTAGTCACCCCGTGACTTCTGTTAGTCACCCCTCTCCAGTCTCCATCCCCTTCAGGCTAATGCTTCGTATTTACTTTGTCCTGAAAACGCATTTGTAAAGAAGCTAATGACTGCATTTATCAAGAGGGCGATCTCTGCTTTTCAATCCGAAATGGTTTGCGACAAAACGTTTTTGAGTTCGTGTTTGTGAAGATGTGCCCTAAATTGTTATGAATGAAGGTTTTACGGAATCAGGAAAAATACACAAAAACAAATTTCAAGATACAATCGGAATAAAGGTCTGGGGTCTAAAAATGATGTCTTAAGATTTTCTAAACAAGAAAAAAGATTTCCATAGATATCACAATGAGAAATATACATTGAATAACATTTTGATGCTGTGTAGTTTGGAGTTCTGAAAATGACGTCTTAAGTTTGGACTAGTCTATGGAATTGTAAAACTAATGAAACCCACATTTTTCTGCAAACCGTTTGTGACCAATTTAAATGTTAAAGAAACATTGAAATACTAAATATTGCACAGTTCATGGGTCATAATTCTGTTGACCTATAAAAAGAGAAAATGTGCAAAGTAAAGAATTGTGTCCAACCACAGCGTTTATCTTCTACAAAGTGTTAAATATTCCTTCTCATAAAACTTGCCGCCAAGCATGTTCGTCTTTTATTGTTTTATCTCTTAATTAACTTTTTACTCGGTCTTTGCACGTTTTGTAAACGCGCTGAATAAGTAATACAGAGATTTAAAGAACTTAAAACAAATTTTCTTTAGTTAATGCAATAGTTTAACCAATTAACATCTTCAAATAAAAAATTCTTTAAAAGTAAAATTAATGTTGACGTTTCTTTGGAAAAAAACTAATTAATACGTGCTACTTTTGTAGAGAGTCTCTGTAAATGTATGGCTTTCTGGAGTTGGAATAAATATGAAGATTATTTGTCTCACGAACACGTTGAAGACTTTCGTTTACACTTGGATCTCCGGTCGTGTATTATTGCGCCAAGCCCTCAAAGGGTCCCAACAGATTTTCCTTAGTTGCGCCAAACCCAAGCCACGTTGGGGTGAGTTGCCGGCTGAAGGAATGTCCTTAGACATCCTAACGTAACCTATCCTATCCTAACCTAACCTAACCTAACTTAACCTATCCTATCCTAACCTACCTACTCAATTATACTGTCAAAGAGGGCCGCCACTTACCTTAGTTAAGGAACGTATTGGGTGACACCCTTGGGTAGATGGCGCAATTCAGGAATACCTGACTACCTGACTCAGGTCAGTTGGCGCAATTAATGCCCACCCGGATCTCCTCCAGCCCGTTGCCAACCAGTAGATGACACCAGAAGATGGATTGTTGATGTTCCCTGTGTGGTTCTTCTTTTGCAATTTTCCATCTAGCTGGGTTTGTATGCATCTTGTCGGACTTCACCTGAAAATATTATCAGATCCTGTCAGGAAACCTTTGTTTTTTACCGATAGTGAGGTGAATTGTCTGCAACCTTGGAATAACTTCAATGACAGTAGATGTAGGCTAATTCTATTGTCACATCAGGCGTGTTGTCCTGACTTGTTGTCAGTGTTGTCTGTCTACATGACGCGTTGTCCTGACTTGTTGTCCGTGTTGTCTGTCTACATGACGTGTTGTCCGTGTTGCAGTGTTGTGCCACAGTCAAGACACGAGGGAGGGTGAGGATGTCAACCTAGAGTGCAGGTTCCCGCCGCATCTAGCCACCCAGCAGGCGACATTCTACTGGCTGCGAACCAACAAGAGAGGACACGACAACGTTGCCATCTCCTCCTCGGCGCTCGACCCCAACTACAGGTAAACAAACCTTACAACTCTAGGCTTAATTACACTGACGAACTGTGTCTTTGCAAAAGACGACCGCTTCGTTTGACAACCCGTTTACAGGGTAATGGCTGCAACGCACCCAAAACATCGGCCACCATTCTCGCTAATTCAATGGCGCGGTTATTTGACAAACTTAACACTAAGTATTTACTACAATCAATCTTAACAGTTTAAGGAAAAGCTTCTTAAACTTCTAGAACAGTTATTCTTTCTTATGTACTGCCAAGCTTAATGCCATTTCTACTATTCAGCGCTCGTCTTTGAAAGTAGTTAAACAAAAACGTTTCAAACTATTAACAACAAAACAACAATATAATCAAAGAAGTACTAAATTCAATTTCTACTCCGTTTTTACTGTATGAACTAACCATTCTGTAATGTGATGAGAACTGTAGACTGTAATAACAAAGTGTAGCCCGGATCGTCATAACCTTTTTGTCACGTTCCCATGTATTCCAGATGTATCACGTTGGAAATAATAAACTTTATACTTCTGGGTAAATGTTGATAGTATCGATACTTTTAGGTAAAATGTTAAATATCGATACTGTATCACGTATCAGTGTAAAGTAAACATGTCATTGTAACAAATACATTTTAATCTCATTTTGTCTTAAATATTGCTCAAAAGTTTATGGCATTTCTTTTGTTTACAAACGATCACGCCTTTTACTATATGAATCTCTCAAATTGCCGTTCTTTAACAAGAAATTTTACATGTAACTTTTTACCTGTTCACTTTAAGGTCTGTGATAATAAAATACGCGAACCTCCTTTTTAGTGAAGTAAAAATAAGAGAAAAATTCCATAAACCTAAAAAAAATTAGCACAACCGGGGAATTTGGTACAGATGTTGGGTGTACCTTCCTTTTGAACATACTAAAAGTCGCCTAAAATTGAAGCTGTGCTACGGCCGCCATATTGGAAAATGGCGGCATATTTCTGTATTTTTCGCTATAGTGACTTTATTATTAGAGATACAGGAAAAAGCTAAATGTACAAAATGTAGGTCATTTACAAATACACATTTTTTGTATTTACCATCGTTCTCTAAACCCAACGGTTTTTGAGTTATTTGTTATTAAGTATATTTAGTTTTTCTATTTATCAAAAGTAGGTGAAACTAATGGAAATTGACCGTTACTTTCAAGGATTATGATAATTTATCCCATTTAGTTAAATAGTGTGATACTATAAAATCTTAAAATTTTAGTTTATTTTATGAGTAAAACAACTCCGCCACAGCAAACCTGCAGACTCAGCAAATTTCCATTTGATTGGATGTTTTATTAATTGTATTTAAATAAAATTAGGTTCAACAGGTACCTAGGTTTGCTGCTACAGGTAGGTTATTATAGTGTGTTTTTTTTAGTAAAATATCAATAAATTAGTATAAAATAATAAATTTTCCAAGTTTGATCATAATAAATCTATAAACAAACAAACTGCAACAGTTAACTAATTTCTAATAATAGCATGGTAGCTTAAGATTTACAATTTACAAATTTAAATATACAAATTTTGGTTGTGTTTACTAAAAATGTGGCGATTATTCGTCACGTTTCGAATACTAACCGAAGGGGTTTTCAAAAGGAGATGAAGCAAGTAATTTAAGTACTGTAATATTAACTCGTACCAAGTATCGGAAATATTGTATGCAGTGAGGAAATCAACCATATTTTGTAAACTACGCAATAGTCATATTAATATTTTATACTCATTATTACCCATTTAATAAATTAACATTTTAATATTTTCATGGCACTACTACTATCACTCTGATATCAACTAAGTGGGATGAATAATTGTCGTATGCCATGAAAGTAACCGTCGATTGCGATGGGTTTAACCGATTTTTGATAAATAAAACTAACTATACTATACCATACTTAATTAGTCACCAACATGAACTAGACACGAAAAACACCCTTCCAAATGAACAATGGGGTGTCAAGTATAGTTAGTTAGTGTGGTGGTGCCATCAAAATACTAAAATGTTAACTATTAAATGGGTAAAAAATGAAGATAAAATATTAATATGAATATTGCGTACTTTAAAAACTCTGGTAGATTACCTTACTGCATACAATATTTTCGGTGCTTGGTACGAATTAATATTACTTAAATAACAGGCTCCATCTCCTTTTGAAAACCCATTTAGTTAATATTCTAATCGTGACGAATAATCGCCATCTTTTTAGTAAACATAACCAAAATTTGTATATTCAAATTTGTTTATTGTATATTTAAAACTCCCATGCTATTCTTATGAATTAGTTAACTGTTGCAGTTTGCTTGTTTATACTGTAGATATATTTTGATCAAACTTGGAAAATTTGTTATTTTATAGTAAGGTTTTGATATTTTACTTAAAAAACACACTATAATAACCTACCTGTAGCAGCAAACCTAGGTACCTGTTGAACCTAATTTTATTTATATACATTTTTTAATAAAACATCCAATCAAATGGAAATTTGCTGAGTCTGCAGGTTTGCTGTGGCGGAGTTGTTTTACTTATAAAATAAACTAAAATTTTAAGATTTTATAGTATCACACTATTTAACTAAATGGGATAAATTATCATAATCCTTGAAAGTAACGGTCAATTTCCATGTGTTACAGCTATTTTTGATAAATAGAAAAAACTAAATATACTTAATAACAAATAACTCAAAAACCGTTGGGTTTAGAGAACGATGGTAAATACAAAAAATGTGTATTTGTAAATGACCTACATTTTGTACATTTAGCTTTTTCCTGTATCTCTAATAATAAAGTCACTATAGCGAAACATACAGAAATATGCCGCCATTTTCCAATATGGCGGCCGTAGCACAGCTTCAATTTTAGGGGACTTTTAGTATGTTCAAAAGGAAGGTACACACAACATCTGTACCAAATTCCCCGGTTGTGCTAATTTTTTTTGGGTCAAAACATATTTTTACTGTGCTATTTATAGTTTTAATTGATTCTCCTTACCCTGGAACCCACAAATGATTCATTGGGAAATAAATTTACTTAACAATATTTAATCTACTTGCTTCAGGACGTTTGTAACTTATACGATTTACTCTGTATATAGTTTTCAAGTTAATATTGTTTAAAGTGTTATCTTTAGAACTTGTATACTATTCACACCCTTTAGGGTACTCTACACAAAAGTACGAGCATTTATTTAAATAACCAACTCGTTCCTATTCACAAGATTGCATTTTTTAACATATTTCTCGTGTTTGGAGTTAAAATAGGAACCCAGCCAACCCGACGTGGTAAACAGAATCCAATACATAATTTGAGGTGTGCTGCGTGCTCCAGCCAGTAAAAAAGCGGAAGAGACTATTAGAGCTGACTATATAACGGACAAACACGAACAGGCTTATCTACCCTCTCTGGCAGTAAATACTAACAGAGTAGAAAACGAAGGCGAAGACTGAAACATCTTTATTTGGCCAGACATGAAACCTTCCTCCCCGTTTAACTCCTCTGGTTTGTGTCAATTGTTAAAGTTTTAGTAGCTCTCACCCGAGTCCACATTTTGCCCGAATAACATAAAAGTTTAAGATCGATTTCGACGGAATTGATATTGATATCGAATTTGAATTTCATCCCGAACTTTATTTCATTCTTGACTCGTGGAAATACTTCGATAACGCTCCGCCTTTTAAATGTGATATTTATTCAGAGCTGGGTCGTAATAGATGCATAAAAGTGGTTTCGCGTTTAAATTGTATTTCTTTGTAAAAGCGGGAATTTTCACATCGGGTTTTACGTTTGATTATATTTTTATCTGCCAGTTTCGTTAATATGAATAATAACTGTTTTAAGATGCTATTAAATTTAATCCGATCAATAGCAAGAAAGAATTAATTACTAGTGAATTCTGTGTGTGTGTGTTTATTTCTCAGTGAAATTCATAATTTGAAATCTATGTAACACGAGGTTGGTTTGGATATAATACATTATTCAATTTTTTTGCACCAAAGTAAACTTATGAATCCATTTCTTACACCATGCCCAACTCATCGATACATTTTTCTCTCCATACACAAATCATCAATCCATTTCCTTCTAAATACCCAAATTATAAATACATTTTTTTTTCTCCTCGCCCAACTCATCAATCCATTTAATTCTCATTACTTGACTCTAACAATCCATTTACTTCTCAATACCCCATTCATCAATCTATATCTTTATCCATACCCAACTCGTCAATCCATTTCCTTCTGAATATCCAAATTAAAATCCATCCTTCTTTCTCCTCACCCAACTCATCAATCCATTTCTTTATCCATACCCAACTCTATATGTTTCTTACATCATACCCAACCTATACCCTGTCCACCCTGATTCCCCCTTGACTCTACTCTGCCATGTTCCAGGGTGGACCTGAGGCCCGAGCAGGGTCGCTACGATCTTCTCATCTCCAACGCGTCCTTCGACCGCGACAACGGCCAGTTCGAGTGTCGCCTGAAGGTGGTTGGCAGCGGTAAGGACCTGCACTCTCAGTCCTTTACCGTGACAGTCCTCACCCCGCCCTCGCCCCCACAAGTGACACCGGGGCTCAGCCCTACAGCCAGCGAGGGCAAACCCTTCCAGCTCTCATGCTCTAGTGCTGGGGGAAGTCCGGACCCTACCATCAGGTAAATAACAGTTTCGGTTAGCTAATCATTAGATTTTGTACAAAAAACCTTTTTACAGGAGAGGACCTAGTAAAAAGAGCTAAAGATATTGTGATGTCAATATTCAATAACTCGTGAGCTTACAGAGGTTTTATTCCAAAAATTTAACCTTATATCATTTGCTTGTGACAACAAATCCACTTTGCCTATTTTGAATGTGAGATGATTAAATGGGTTGAAACCTGTGTTGCTTTGTCAATGAGTAGGCCTAATATGAACTGTTTTAAGACAAATCTACTTATTAAAAACCAATGAGCAAGGACACCTGAACCCAGTTTCGAACCTTCAAAATGCTTCTGAATTTTGTCAGGATACATCCGGTCTTTTTAATTATTAGGGAAGTACTACAAATTCTTTGCTGCCCAATATAACCATATCGTATAACCCACTAACTCTGTCTGTTCTCCCAGATGGTACCGGGAAGGACACCATGAACCCCTGGAGGCAGTGAGGACCCCGACGGAACAGGGGGTGACGTCCATCCTCACCCTGAACCCGTCCAAGGAGGATGACGGAGCCGTGTTTCGCTGTACCGTCTGGAACAGAGCAATGGCTCCCAACACTAAGCTGGAGGCCATAGTCAACCTGAATGTCAATTGTGAGTAGAAATACTAAACAAGCTTATCGTAAGATGGTAGAAAAGTTTCAATTTTTCGTTGAAATTTGTTGAGGCATTCAGTAAGGATACGCACCTTTCACGCTACCTAAGTAAAGTAGTCTCCATTTAAGAATTAGCAGAGTTTTCAGTTTTGCACTGACCAATCAAATGTAAGCTTGCTGGTATAGTTTTTGTGCCATGGACTATTATGATGCAAAATCTTCCACACAAAATTTGAACCAATCTAATGAAAACGTTCATAAGCAACATTATTTAATCTTTCTGAAATTGCATTGAAAGTAATAGTAAAAAAACACTAAACTAATCTCCTCAAAATATCTGCTAGACTTATTATTGCAAATCCGATAGAAACGTTTTAATTCATTAGATATTTAAAGACTTCAGAATGCCTGATACTTTTCAACATCATAATTTAGACTGATATGTTCCTCGTAAAATAATGATAAAATTTATTTGTAAAAATAAATAATTATGGCTACGTACTCCAAAAGAGACAGAATTGAGTCCTTCCAAAACTAAATTGAAAACACCCATAAAAGATACAAGTTATTCCAGTTACTAACCAATTTTATTGATAACACAGATATATTTTATGTACCAACTTGACCCATTAAATAACATTAAACCATGCTGGCAGCCTTGTCTGACTCAGAACCTATTGACAATAACTTAGTATCTGAAGTAGGTCAATATTCAACCCTGATAATGGTATGTAAATGCAGCTGTACATTTGGTACGATTTGTATTTATGTTAATGTGATTACAAAGAACATTAGTTATGGATAGGATTAGTTGTGACACTTTTAGCTAGTTTAGGTTGGATTTCAACGTAAATCGGTTTGGAAATTGCACTACTTATTGAAGCATTATAGTGTAAAACGTTAAATTAAACTGCTAAGTTTTTTAAACAGCAAATTCCTCATGATTTTTTTTAAGAAATTGTGAAAAAATAATTTAATTGTGAAACTATTAAAATCTTTAATTTAATATCCAAATGGCAAAAGATTAAATTAAATGGAAAACCTTGGAAAATGTGATGATTCTGAAGGTTGTTTGATTATAAAGGTGCTAATTGTCGCACGGTGTAATGTCCAGAGAAACAAAGTTCAAACATTCATTACGCAAGCCGTTAGCAAGGTAGTTGGGTCAACATATTTGTACGAAAGGTTTCATTACTGTTCTTTGTCCTTACATGTAAAACATCTGCGTTTTTCATGTGTGTTTGTTTTTCACTCAACATTGGACCCCTGAATCTGCAAATGGACACTAAGGTGGGTCCAAACAGTTAGAGCTTGAGTTGAAGATAATTCTTTTTTATGCTTATCATTTTTAAGTTTATTATTTTAATGTTTGTCAATTTAAAGTTCATCAATTTAAAGGTCATCGGTTTGTACAGCGCACCTCTTTTGATCATAATTCAGTTGTTTATCTTTCAGTTTTTTGAATCATCATCGTAATTTTTGAAATAGATTGAATTTGGAGTGTTTAGGTTAAGTTCTTGTTACCTAAAAATACAACATTAAGTTATTTACTTTCATCAATATAGACTTATCACTGGTATTATTTTGATTTCTATTTAAAATACCGGTTTGATTCGGTTTTTAATAGTATAGTTCAGAAACGTTACTTTTATAAAATACTAAACTCCAATGAATTAAGTTCACTTGCGCAAGTGTTAAATGCAATAACAAATCATTGATAAATAATTCATAACATAAACACCATATTCTGTCAGTAAAGGTAATTATAATTCTCTAATCATATAAAAAATTCCAAACAAAAACTTAATCTTTCAAAGAAACGATTTAGACAAAAATAAATGAAGATAAAATGATATCTGTTTGAAATATTTGTCAGCGTCTAACAAACAGAGCTCAAAGAACACAACTTTAGTGATTGGTACCAGAGATATTTTGGCTGTTTTGCTGGAGCTTTGATTCCTTTATTTATTGACGTTGCCACCAGAGTAAATATCCCCCGGAGGTTTACGTTACCAGGCCATGTGCAACGATATCTGTTGTAAGACGGAGGCTGGGCCATATGGTTCGGCCGCTGGCTTTTATTGAAACATAAAACAGCCGAGAAGCCACTTTACGGAAATATCCTCGCCAGTGCAGTTGGCAGTACTGCGCTCCTAGTTAAACAGTTTACACTGCCTGCATTGCGCTGTAATAGCTGGCGTTTTATCACCTATGTTTTATCCAATTAAAATTGTCGGATGTGTGTTTCGTTTAAAAAATTGTTTATTTTTTTGCGTTAAAATTATTATTTCACATTGACAATTTTGATTTATATGTAAAATACCGTATGTAATATTTATTTTGGAGAAAATTGTCCATTGAAAATATTGTAAAAAATGATACATTTACATATTTTTTAAATTTATTTCATCGCTTTAAATTGTAAGCATCTACCCAATTACAAAGAATAATTTACGATTGAACACCTAAAGTTATAAGTCCTAAGGAAACCCCACACATTTTTACAAACAGTATTGAAACAAATCAAATCGATAAAATTGCATTTACCGTTAAATGAATAGATTTATTTATAACTAATTACTCGTCCACCTACATGTATGTCATCCCCACAATTTTCCCAACCAAAAATAAACCCTTTCCTTTTCACTCTTTATACAAATCAACAATGTCAAAATAAAAAACAAATTTTACAAAAATATCATATAAAAAGAAAAATAGAGAGAGTGTAAAAAGAAAAATGTTCAACTAATTTTATGTTTGACAAGGCTTGAAAATGAAACGTCAGTTTCGAAACTAGTCGCTTAAAAAGACTAACCTAGGATTGACGACGTAAGGTACGTAACCTATTTTATATTGTCTTAAATCAATCCTGGAGGCAATGCTGAATAAAAATAGACCATAAACTAAATAAAATTCTCAATCATGACAGACATTTTTTCCTTGCAGATTTCCCTAGAGTGAGTGTCGGTCCAGAAAACCCTCTAAGGGTGGAGAGAGACGGAACTGCGACGTTGGAATGTAACGTAGACGCCAAGCCTAGAGTAGCCAATGTGAGGTGGACTCGCAACAATAGGTTCATAGCGATTGCGTTCTCGCACACGCTGCACCGTGTAGCTCTCCAGGACGCTGGCAAGTACACCTGTACAGCCGACAACGGACTGGGCAAGGCTGGGGAGGCTGAGATAATACTGGATGTGCAGTATCCACCACAGGTAGGTTTCAGAGGTTTTGCTGATGGAGGTTAAGACTTGTATGATGTTGAAGAAAATAGTTATAGATGCATAGTTAATCAGATGAAATCAGAGGAGAATAGTCAACCAAGTGTTATGAGGAATTGAGATAAGTTCGGACTAATGCTTCAGCAGTAGCGAAAACCACAGTTGATCAACAAATTTCTAATAACATATTCATCACTTGTTGGTGCATGATTGTGACAATTTTTATTGAAATTCTGTACTTCTGATGCCAAATATCAGCAACGAGTGTGATTGTAACTAAATTGTGTGTTTCCTTGCACAGGTGACGATAGAAGGAGGTCCCAGCCAAAGAGAGGCTGAGGAAGGCGAGAATCTCATGATCAAGTGTAATGTCTCGGCCAACCCAGCACCAGTGACAGTGGAGTGGACGAGAGAGGGGCGGCCGGACTTCCGACAGACAGGACAGATACTCAAACTGCACAGGATCAATGCCGACTCTGCTGGTAGGAAAAACTTAAAATATAAAAAAAAAATCATAATGTTAGTAGTAAGACGATAAACATAAAGTGTAAACACTTTGAGGGAAAAAACTGGAGTGTAGACACAAAAAAAACTAGTATAAATGCTTCGGTTTGAAAATGTTAACATTGTTAAAATATTGTGAATGCTAAAATCCTTCAAACTAAAAAAAATGAGGTTTGGCAGATTGGTTAAGATTGCTTGTAAAAGTAAACTGAGGTACAAATAATTTTTGTCCAAATTCCCCAAGCGGTCCAATATTTTTCCAATATATGTGATTTATCAAAAAATTACACCAAAAGGTTTAATACATTATATATATTTTTTTACACCAATACTATTAACAATATAAAAAAATATTTTAACCACATTGAAGAACAATATTGATAAATTATTGAAGAACAAAATCTATGAAATATTTATACAAAATCGTTACTTTGTTTGCTACTTATTTGTGACAATATAACATTTCACTGTAATTTTCAGGCACATACACATGTCGAGCCCTCAACATCCTCACGGTTGGTGGCAAGTCTGCGCAGAAGGTTGGTAACAACTCTGTCACTCTGTTGGTCCGACACAAGCCAGGACGTGCGCAGATCACACCCGACAGACCTGTCGCCACAGAAGGATCAGGTCAGTGTTATATTTGAAAATGATTGTTCGCTATGCCTTTTGTTCTAGGTGGAACTAAAAAGTTTTTTTGCAAGATATGGTTTTTGTATTTTTTTACAGTGAATTTAATAAAGACACGTTTAGTATAATAAGGTGATCCATAACTAATGCGACCATAAATAAAGATTTATAATTGTGTAGACTTCAAAAAATGTTAAGCATTTGATTCAAAACCTATAAATTTGTGAGATCTACCAAATCTAACAAAATGTCATAAAAATTATCAAAAAAAATTATTTGAATTTCCCTCCCAACCTGTTTTCAGTTACATTAATTATTAAAGCTTTTAACTAATACTCTTACTTGTCATAATGATTCAATCATTTGGTGATGATAATGAAAAAAATATACATACATGTAGAGTTACATAACCAAACTTATAAAACGAGAGGGTGGGTTTATTATCTAGATCTAAATAATATTCTAGACTTATTTCCATTCGTTTAGTTATTTTCTGTTTAGATTTGTATTCTTTTTTTGTTAACAATTGTACTCAAAATATTAAAAAATAATAATCACAATCCGTCCCCAGGTGTCACTCTGACCTGCTCATCTTCTCCTCCGGGTTGGCCGGTGCCGCAGTACCGTTGGTGGAGAGACCAGGAAGACTCACCCCAGTCCACAGTCCTGGCCACGGGCCCTAAGTACAACATACCATCTGCCCATCTGGCCAGCGAAGGCAAATACCACTGCCAGGCCATCAATGACATGGGGCACAGTGAGATCGCCACTGTAGTCCTCACGGTGCATCAACCTCCTCGCTTCCTGGCTAAACTGCAACCCCATGTTACCAAGAGGTGGGTTTAGTGGTAGAGCCTGAGGTCTCGTGTTCAAATCCAAACAATTATCAATGGATTTTATCTGTGGTAATGCTGCTACTTTCTAGGCTTATCAGGATTGTTAAATGATAGATTCTAGAAGGGTAGCCTACCTGAGAGAAAGTCCAGAAGGTGCACACAATAAAAGGGCAAATGTTTTTCTATCAAACCTTAAATCAGTGGTCCTTATGCAAAATTAATCACAAAATAAAGTTTTATTATGGCATTAGCTTGTGTTATTTACGAAAGTAAAATAAAAATAGTGTAGCTTTTGTAATTTTTTTACAAAAAAAACAAATAGTTAATGTTATAAAGAGAATTAAAGAGAAACTGTGGTTTGATTATATTTTTATACTGTTGCCAACAATATATTTTTCAAAAATAATGACAATGTAATTTTAATGGTTAGTAATTGTACTTGGAATAAAATTAATTTTTTACTTTTTTAAGTATAAAAACCTATTGTATTTATTGTATTCAGTAAAAATAAAACTAAATTTGTTAGGTAAATTTAACTCATAGTACATGTATAAATTTAGTTTCTCAACCGTTAAGTTGAGTACTTTACCACAACAGTTGGTTGAAAATCTTATCCCTCGTTACATATTCAAATTGCTGTTTAACATTCAAAACTCACAAAACAAAATGCAAATTAACTGGAAGAAAAGTAACAAAGAAATACAGATAGGTTTGATACTGTATAATGGTAATTTTCCACTTTTCTCAGAAGTAATTTATTAGTTAGCCAGTTGCAACAGTCCTTTGAAACGACTGCCTGTTTGTTCTGGAATTCTTTATGATAAAGTTTGTTTTCGAACTTGCATGGATCTGAACATTCTTTTAAAAAATGTTAAGAGGTGGAAGTTACTTCAGCGATACAACAACAGTTTGCACGAGGAAAACTTTCTATTGCTTTAGGGATTAAGTTAGTTAAAAATGCAAACTTTACACGGTTTACGTTGTTGATACCATGATTTAATTTCAAAGTTTTGCGTGAAACAGCGTTTTAATCAGGTGTTATACCTGATCCCTTCCCTGTAAAATAAAACATGAATATGAAAACACTCTCTGTTTATTAGATTGAATTTTGTTACTCAATAAAATGATTGATTTCATCATCCAATTTGTCAGGATGTGTCTCTGTTACATTTAATTTGGTGAAAGCTCTTTGTTTGATGTTTTAGCGAATTTCCCGTATAGGGAATTTGTAATATTGTGTTATTTCGGATGTTAACTGAATTACATTTTTTCAGAATCGGAGATACAGAGTTTAGTGCCATGTGTGGAGCTCAGGGGAAACCTAAACCAACAATAAAATGGTTTAAGGACGGACAAGAAGTTGCCCTCGAGATGTACGAGATCTCGACTGACGAATCTGAAGGTATTTTAAAATAAATATTTATTCATAAATTAAATAGTGAAACTAATACTTTACTATTAATGCACAATTAATTTAGCTTGTATTTACTGCTTTATTTTTTTTTCAATTATGATTGTTAAAATTCTCTGATATTTCCATTATAGATATGTTTGTTCCATTATTGTATTATAGACATTAAAAAACTGATCTAATCAATTCGACATTGTTATATCTACTTTGTTGAAACATATGTCCCTATGTAAATTTTAATTGACAGCTTTTCCATTTAGAATGGGTAGTACTTTCCTCTAACCAAAGGTAGCAACCCTGCATAAGACCTCTGTAAGTTAAAGTTTAAAAACATAAAGATATAATCTGGTTCTCCTATTTACATTAACATGACTTGCCATGGTTCCAGGTCGTAACTCTGTATACACCGTACAAAGCACTCTGAGGTTCACGGGGCGTAACCGTCCCAGCGGCAACGAGCTGATGCCAGCAGACCGAGGTGTCTACTCCTGTGTGTTTGAGAACGAAGTGAAGCGAGCAGAGACCACCATGCATCTTAGGATTGAACGTAAGTTGACCAAAAAATGTTTGGTGAGGACAAAAGATTTATCTATTCTGAATGCAGCCATTGACATAATTTGACAGATCACGATTTGTTCCTTTACATAAACTAATTTAATTATTTGGTCTTCAGATGAACCTATCATCGTAAACACTCCGCACAAGGTGGCATATGACCTGCGGGAGACGGCTGAGGTGATGTGTCGGGTACAAGCGTATCCGAGACCAGAGTTTTTCTGGTATTTCGGTACTAACAGCCAGAGCCAGCTGACGTCTGGAGCCGACGGACATTACGAGATCAACACCACCGTCAACCAGAGCGGAGGAGACATCTTCACTAGCGTTCTGCAGATCTCCAACATCCAGGGGTCTGACTATGGCGACTACTCCTGCAAGGTATGGTGCTTATGTAGCTGCTAAAATGTAGTAGTAGCTTTCTTATTATAAAAATTATTTTATCTGTTAATAGTACTTGTGAAGATGTGTGGTTATCCTTTCTGTCTAGATTACGCATTTAACATTTTTTTTTTAAATCTTTTATGAAATTGTTTTTAGAAGTGGCTAAAACCATACATCTTCAGTTAACTTACTTTATAAAACTGAAAATACTCGGTCCTCCTTGTAAGAAGACTAGTAGTTTATCAAGCTAATTTCACTTCATAATTAAATTAATTTCAATTAGAATGCCCAAATAATTTTGCTGTCTACATTCAAAGCTGTAAATTCAACCCTTGAACTCAATTCCCAAATTCTCAATCTCTAAACTTTTTCAGGTTATTGCTATTAGAAAAGTTAAAACCAAAATCACTTATGTATTTTTTCCTTTGCACATAGACTATCAACCTATACATAGAACTCAATACTCAAACCCTAATTTTCTCTCCAGGTCCACAACGCCATTGGCAAAGTCACCACCACTATCCGTCTACAGCCCAAGGGTCCCCCGGAGAAGCCTGAAGCTCTGGTCGCAACGGCCGTCGGTCACAACTACGTCACACTCAAGTATACCCCTGGGTTTGACGGAGGCGTGCGTGACACCAAGTACTTTGTGTCATACCGTCGTACCTCAGAGGCCGGAGACGAGGACTGTGTCGCCATGCGTCGTACAGGAGCTCCGGACAGCTGGCACGAGGTCGACTGTCAGAGAAGTAATCCATGCAATGTGACGAACCTAGATCAGCACCAGCGGTATATCTTTAAGGTAATTGTTTATTTAATATTTGTCTAATCCTAATGTTTCATAAATTTAGTGATCAACTTTTTGGTAAAAACAACAATAAAGTGCACAATAGTTTGACAGTATGAATCGAATAAGTACAAGTAACCAAGTAAAATAATGTAAACAATTAATTTAAAATTGGTCTAAAATTGGTCTGCAATATTTGGTATTTGCGCGAACCTCATAGTCTTAAACATTTAATTAGATTTGAATTTAACTTGATTGATTAATTGAAAAGGAAACTTTCCAATGTGGGCAGACAGACATTATGAGTTCTGTATACCAAATATGATTTAGTATATAACAGATGAAAGGGTAAGAACATTAAACACTAAAATCAGTGATTTTTTAAAGTAGATTGATTGAGACTATTATTAATGTTTTGCAAAATTCGAAATAAGTTTCTATTACTCAAATTGTAATTGTGTAACAATTTTACTTTTGTTAAAATAACCGTTATTTTTTAAATTGTCCTGCATATAATACACATAAGAAAACACCATATCTGTAGCTAATATTTTCAATTGAACATATTTTAAAATAATTTTGCAGTAGTCTTGTATTTTTTAATAAAAACGTTTAGTCTTAATATTTTAACTTTTATATACCAATTAAAATGTTTTTTACAATATTCTTTTCTCAAAAATGTAAATCCTGATTAATACAGTAATCAGATTACTTTTAAGAAATATGAGTGTTTTTGTTATCCCAAGTAACCTGATACATTTGAAGCGTAAAGTTGAGATCAAAAGCTGCTTAGAATAACAAACAGCTTTATCTCTTGCCTGAAGCCCTTTGTTCATTTCACTTCATTTACTTTAGGTTTCTTGTATCAGTTTTTTTTTCTCGTAAATACATTCTACTTGTATTATCAAGGTTTGTAAGTGATAATGGCTCAGAAGTTTGGAACCCATGCAAGTTGTTGGTCTTGTAGGTGTGGACAACTTTTTTTGTTTTTAAAACTTTAGTTTTTTTTTATTATTAAATGATATTATAATTTAATTGAGTGATAAAGTTTTTGGTTATCTAATTGGTTGCAATAGGATTCTATCATTTGTTTGAATTAACATTAAATAGCCAAGTTAAAATCAATTGACATTAGCTATGTATCTTCTTATCTTGGTTAAAACAATGGTTATGTTCGATATCAATATTAATTCTTTGGTATTGTAATTTTTAGTGTTGTCTAAATATTCCAAAACTAATCTAAATAAACGTGTAAAAAACTGGAAAAATCATAAATACTAGCAATAAAATAAATATCAGCATATACAAAACAGTGTGATTGAAAGATGGAATTTAAAAGAGTATTGCATCCATGTAGTATGTTAGTTTTGGAATGTTTACTCATTTTATAACTTGGTAAAATATTATTTAAATAATGATTTTTAAAACGTGAACATTTTTATTTCTAAAAAGTAAAATCAAATATAAACTATCCCTTAAACAAAATCAACGTCTTTCACTTCCACCCCTAAGGTTTCACGGTGTATACAAGTATATTATACGGGTATATTATACGGGTATATTAATCTGTAAGGGGGATAAATCATGTAGTAGGGAGCCGAAGGCGAGAGCAAATCCCGACAGTTTTCATTGATTTATGACATCAAACAAGGTGTTACAAATTGATTGGCCTCGACTGCCAACAGATTAGCCTGGCTTCGACAGGGAAGGTTTAAACACCTCTCTGCCCACAACACAACACCACCACATGTTTGCACCGTTCCCTCTAATCCGCTTATTAATTCTCGGTTAAAGTTCGTGGTTAATTTAAAAAACAGGTGGTTGTAAACATTTTTATAAGGACGATTATCTTTGTTTTGAGGTTAGTGGGTATTTTATTCAACATATTTTAAATTTTTAATATTTTTAAATTTTGTATAATTGTTCTGAACTATAGGTTTTCTTATACAAAATTATGTTTTTCTGTTGTAATAAATCAGGTATGTGCCGTTTTTTATGAGATACCAAACTGATAATTTTATTGAGGTAGATTGTATGTTTGGAAATACTGAAAAAATTGTTTTTTCTATTAAAGACAGTATGACACCATAAAATAATTTTGAATTTAATTCTGTCAATGTTGTTAGTAGGTCTAACAAATATCTCCATTTACTTCAATTTTTAACTGGCTTAGCTAAAAAATTCAACTAATGAAAGTTTTTGATTTACCAAGTTTTAAAATTACTACTACTTTAACAAATAGTCAAAAGAAATAATTGTATTTACAAGGAACTATAAAAGATAAAATTGCATTATATAAATGAGGAAAAAGAGGTTTAATCTTGTTTCCCCTTGGATGATCCAGATTACGACTGTTTGTTAGTGGCTAAGCCGTAGTTTTCATCCGACTTTCATTTTCTCTGTGGTTCAGGCTGACAAGATATTAAGATTATCATTTAGCTGAAGACATTATCATTTTGTTTTGATGAATGTAGTGTTACTAATTCTCATTATTTTATTTGATTATAGTTAGTTTTATGGTATCGTTTATTTAATGTTTATTTTCATTACTATTTAGAAATTTTCAATCTCTTTAGGTGGGATTAAAAAAATTGTATTTAGCGCCAAATATCACAAAGATGTGTTACCAAAAGCTTAGTTCTTTTTTCAAATAAATGAGATAACCTCAACTTATACAACCATTTAACTTAGCTTAAACTAAAGCTTAAAATGTTGATAGGGGTGCATACATTTTTTTAACAAACATTCTTGTATTATGTGATATTGTTATGAATTCAATCCAAACAAACGTTATGAAATTACATATTAAGTTATATATATAGATGTTTTGAATCTTTTACTCATCCCCTACATGTTTTTAGATGAAGGCCTACAACCCCAAGGGCCACAGCAACTACTCCGATGAGATTAGTGAACTGACCAAGGTGGACCGTATCCCAGCGCCTCAGCGAGTAGCCTACGACCCAGAGACTCACGCCCTGACACTCAACATTGCCGCTACATGCCTTCGACTGGTGAGAAACCGACTTTACTTCTTCTGTGAAATATTACAAGTCTCAAAAAGTTAATTATTTGGTATTAATAGTATTGTTTGTTTTGTTTTACGCATGGAAAAAATATATATTGTAACTGATACTTTGGCTAACAATAAATGAATTTCGTAATCAGACGAGGGTGTAAGAAATCGGGGACACAAGCCTAAATTAGTAGGAACATTTATGGAAAATATATGTCTTCTTTGCTATGACAAATATGTTTACAATAAGGAAATCATCAATCTACCTACATTAATAATACATGTTAAAACGAGCATCTATGTTTGTAGGTGGGAGTAATTGAAGTTTCGACAAGTCACGTTCACGAGCCCGACTGGAACTCCCTCGAGGATCCTCTAATGCTGATTCCGTCCGGAGCTCAGCCAACACGCCACGAGGCGACCATCACAAGTCTACACCATGTGGCACGCTCTAGCGGACGATCACTGGACGACTCTCACAACATGGTGAGTACCTGTGGTGTTGGTAGTCTAACCAAACATAACCTAACTTTTCCTAATCTAACATGCTCGTGGCAAAACAAACATTTGTTTAACCTATATTAAGTTCACAAGTGTTATGAGTTAATAATAAGTTTCACAAGGTAACAATTTCATATTGCAGATTTTATAAAGAGTCTTAGAATTTTTTGATATCTGGTTTCTATTAGAGTTTCACAAAAATTATGAAAAGTATTTTTTTTTTATGTTAACATAAATTAGAGACTGTATATGGAAGGTTAGTATTTGTGTTGTGTATGTGACTAAAAATAAAATATTGGACCTAAATTAGTTATGTCTCTTCTAACCAAAACCAATAGTCAAATTATACTCTGGAATTTATTCATTAATCACAGTATGACTATTTTGTACTAGAGATTTAATTTTTAAAATGCACATTGCTAACACAATTTAAAGCACAGTAAAAATATATAACATGTAAATTTAATGTATGTTCCTTTTTAACCACCAGAATCTTTATTTTAGTTTTATTTCTGATCTAAATAGTAGTGAAATATTTGACGTTTTTTTTTTTACTTTTATATTTTATGTTTACAGATTGAAGATGACAACGTTCTGCCCGTTGTGAAAGAAGATGCAGTTAGGGTGAGGGTCAAACTTTGCTTGGAGAACAACCCTTCAAACTGTGGAGACTACGTTGAAGCTGAAAGTGAGTTTAAATCTCCTACTTTACTTAAAAATAATACTTTCTAAGCTGGAAAGAAACCTACAACTTTTTTTAACTATGTTTATTTCAATTATGTTTTGTTAGTATACTTTACCATTTCATAAAGAAAGGATCCAAATGCCTCTCAGTATAATAATCAACCCAAAATCATTTTTGTTTAGCCTTTTTATATAAGCTATGGTTAGTTTTAACAAATATAATTTAATTGTATAACGCCATTCTGGTGCATCATGTTGTACTCCTGAATAAAGATTATACGACTATGACTATGACTAAGTTGGTGTCTAGGTAATCAAATCAGTGATCTTACCTTTAAAATCTCTATTCAACCATTTGTCCATCAAATCACCTTTCTAATGTTTATTAGATGATTTGTGGTTGATAGCTTAGTGGAAAGTAGAAATGTGATGTATTCCAAATAATAAACACTAATCTATAGTACTTAATTTTTGTATGATTACAAAAATTTTGTTTGTACATACGCACTACTTAAAAAAATTATAAGTTAGTCATGTTTACCATAACCGAAATTAAAACAAAAATTTCACTAGTTAATTGAAAAAGTTAGCTAACAACAGTGTTACTCCGAGTAATATATATTTTTTCAAAAACATTCTACAACTTTAGGAATATCTAAAATTAGATTTTCTTCACTAAAACCTAAACTGGAGATATATTTTACATTGAGGACTGCAGCGAAATACAAGACAGACTGTAAGCCTTAGGGGTCGTAAAATTAACTAGGCGCACAGTTTATGTTCATTGAGTAACATACAATTGATGAGCCACTGAGAATAGATGTGGGACATTTTATGACTCTTCCTACACGACTTTATGGTATGGAAAAATGTCTCTGGCCTGATTCTGAGAGCATAAACCCAGATGTCCCATTGATGTAGTTGTTTATAGAAACTGTAAATAGTTTATGACTAAAATAATGTATGCTAGGATACAAGGTTGTATTAGTCAATATTCAATGGGAATTAAAATGTAAAATATATTATATCATTTATAGAGATTCGTGGTAGAGTAAATTAAAGTCCCGTGAACAATGAAATTAAATTATTTATTAAAATTTTTTGAGTTATAACTAAGTTATATTTTCATAATCTCTTTTAGAATGTAACTGAGTAGTTTTAGTGCCTTCAAATCTGAAAACCGCCGGTTCAATTCCTAGCAAGCTCAACTGTTATCGCATAAACCATTTGGTATTGAGATATCATCAATTATTTATCCTATCCATCAAAAGTTATTCAAGTTTGACTGTTCAAATGGCAACAGTGTAGACACACACAAAAATTGAACCAAACATAACATTGCTACTAAGATTTTTTTTAAAGTAACTATCAAACAATATTATTTTACCCTGCAAAATTTTACTATATTTTGTATTTGTGATTGTAACAACTTAGTATTTTGAGGAAGGATTTTGAGTGGAAACAATAAAAAATCAGACATTTTTGAACCAAATTGGATTTTAAAAATTTTAACTAAAAATTTTTTTTACTACAGTTGGAGCCGCCTACATCAAGGAGGCTGCCACCCTCACCACACCTACCCTAGTAGCCATCATCGTGTCTTGTGTTGTCTTCGTTCTTTTCATCGGACTCATGTTCGTCTACTGCCGCTGCCGCAAGGTTCCTGCCAAGAAGGGAAGTGGGAAGGACTACGAAATGGAAACAACCACGTAAGTTCATTGGCTATGACTTAAGTGTAAAATATTTAACTTTGGAAAATACAATATTGTAATAAAGTTTATATTTTAGTTTTTTCCTCTAAGTGACTTTTACTAATAGCAAATATTTGTTTAAAGTGCTGCCATGGATCTGTGAGTAATGATTATCTTAAATTGTGTTTGGAATTGCATGGATTTACCTAAAAAGTCTAGGTTTTTACTATAATCTTATGTTGTATCAGCATGGTATTATTAGAGACACGTGTTGACGTGTTACATCCAAAAAAAGCATCACCATTTGTTAACTTTTCATATACCGTAACCAAGTACCTAATGTTTCAATACGGTAGTACATTTTCCTTTTTTAAAATTTATTTTGGTCTATTTTTGATCAAAACTGTTTGATCGCCAATTCCTCTTCATGATTCAAGTCAAAACTCAGATATGAATTCGCCATATTTCTTTATATAAATTCACATTAAAAAATTTGATTTTGCCAGTGCTTAGTTGAAACGTTTTTGCTGTAAACCCCTCTATAAGAGAGGTGTCAAAGACATTTTCATTTTCCAAATTACCACACCAAATATTAACCCTCAAAAAGTATTAAAATAAATACATTATTTTCTAAAAATACAATTTTAAGGTGAGCAAGTTTATTGCACAGAGTAAACCCTACAATGGTTACAGGGTCCACCCCAGTATTGTGCAACAGCCTCCTCCCCCGTACTACCCTGCCTCTGGTATGGAGAACAAAGCCTTGGACATGGACCCCTCCAAGGCAGCCGTCTACGCCGGACAGAACGGATACAGCTACCACGGAGCCAACCAGAACGGCGGAGAATGTAAATCCTACTTATAAACTGCAATGTCTAACCGTAGCTTTTATTTTTCTATGTGACTTCTTTCCGTTAACACTAAGCTGTAATGTTCATAAGACTGCAAGTAGTGTAAGCGATTAGGTTTAGTCTGTTTTGTCAATTTCTCCAGTCAATATTCACAGGGTTGTATCTATATTGGCCTTATCGATGAAAGATTTTGTACTGTGTTATGATTCTGGGCCGATCGATTCTCTTAAATGCTTTTTGTAGAAAGTATTTTTCGGTAAATGTTAGAGTGAACATTTTAGGTTTAGTTCCCAAATAATTGTGTGGTTTCTTTAGATAACGTTGTTAGCTTTGGTTGTTAGTTAATCTCATGCTATTTTGTATTTAACTCTGACTAGATCTGAATTCAACTGCCTTTCAATGTTAGCTCATGTCAATGTCGTGGCCTTTTCTTCTGCAGATTTACTGTCAGCTTCACAAATGTTCAAGTTATTTTAGTCGTAAATATTTTGTAAGCTAATGTCCAAAGGAAAGTATGCAGTCTACTTTCACTTGAGTACTCATTTTTGTTTCGTTGCAAATGTTTAATTTTTCCAATACCGCAAAAATATCTCAGTATTTAATTTTATGCAACCATATGTTACAGCCAGCAAAGGCTATAGTCAAGGTGAGTGGAGTTTGTTCAAAGTCAGCGTGAATATGTTACAATTGTCTATGTTTGGAAGACAAATCAAAAAATTCATGCATGACTTAAAACCAGTTTTTACTAATTAACGTCAGTCTATTAAAGTAATTGCCACTTTCCAGGGTTTACTATTAATTCCACAAATTTCAAAGTTGTGTTTTGTTGTGCAGGGGTTAACATGGGTTACATGGAGAACAGTTACTCAAACTCCAACAATGGAGGATCACAAGATTCCCTGTGGCAAATGAAGATGGCGGCTGCCAACAACAACGCCAACGCCGGCAACAATCCAGAACATCATCACCACCATATTGCCAACCACTACGGTAAGCAACCACTATGCCTACACCTCCTTAAGATATAGTAGGCCAACAGTATTAAGCAAAACTTGTATGATTTAAATATCATTGTTTTTCCATTAATATATTTCTGAAAACTATATTATGGTTTGTTCTTCAGCATTAATATACCCTTGTATATTTGTTATAGCTCAGTTAGGCAAAAATAAAATACGAATTAGTTAGTTTTTTTCATTTAAACTAAATTGACTCCTAACAAGACAAAAAATTACAAACTAGATGTTAAAATATTGTATGCTACTACACCACTGTTGAAAATTTTGTAATTTGTTTGTTAGGTATTTAGTACCAAAATTAAGATTATGTTTTTTTTTTTTTTTTATTCAATCTAAAATTTTGCTTTCTTTGATCTCTGTAGTTGCTTGATAAAAAATAAATGTAATTACTAACTCAGGCTGAAACCAACTTAATACTCAAACATAATATTCACAAAGTTACAATCTAAAATTGTGTTTCTCAACATGGATTTATAAAAGAACTTTAAATTACTATGGTAAACATTCTTTATGCTAAATGCAAAATCTAATTAGTATTTGCTCTTTTGTATAAATTTAAATTAATAAATATTAAATCAAATAGGTAGTAGCAGTAAAACAATTTAAATTTTTATCAAAAAAGTTTCCAATAATAAAAATTCTATGCTGATGGAATATTTTTGCTACAACCAATATTACAAACGATTATATCCACAACAATTTGATCTTTTAAATGTTAAGTAAACTACATTTCCGTTTTTAAAAATTAAAAGATTTCAATTAATTTAGAACATATATAAACCTAACCTTTGACAAAAAAAGTTTCTGTGACAACACAAATCCGTAGTAAGTGATTAAATGTTTCAACAAGTCAATTAGAAGTCTCTTGGTAAGAGACAAGTCTCGACTTTACCGCAAGACTCGGGGGACAAAGGATTCTCCGAGACTTGTGTAACGCGATACTTCACTCGCAGGAATGTCAATGTTACTCTTACATTTCTCTCAGATCATGTTACTAACTCTTTCTGTCTCTTTTTACTTCTACCATTCCGGTTTCTTTGGTCTGTGTTTTAACTTTTTTTATAGCTTACAAACCTTGTGTGGAATAGGGATTAGATTTATAATGTTTCCGTGATTAAGGGATGTTTTAAAAGTAATCAAACAAAATTATTATTATTAAAATTTAAATAAAACATCACCAATATTAAATTAAATTAAAAATTCATTAAATAAAAATCGCTGAAATTGTCCATATATATTTAATCGATTTAAAAAATTAATTTAAATTATTAAAAATGTTAGCTTAAATAATGTGATTGAAATTTGTTTAAGATAATCTGTTTTTGACGAGTTATTTGTTAACTATTGCCAGTTCAGTTGTTTTCAAATACAATATATCATATCATTTCATCTAAATGAATTTATTGTAGAAATTTTGTTTTAAAATATTAGGACACACAAATAGTTACATAGAATTCTACAAAACTCTTCTTTATGTCAAATACAATAATTTATCTTTTATTTATTTGTCTCTTATGGTGCGAGCTGGTCTAGTGTTAGAGCCCAGGACTTTGGACCCTGATGTCCTGGGTTCAAATTCTGCCAATCACCAATAGATTTAATCAAAGTGAAAATGCCACAACACTGACCTAGCCTAAAGTAATGAGAAAAAATGTCAGGCTAGAATCTAGAGTAATCAAAAATTAGTCCCTTGAAGTTCATTTAAGTGAATTTGCCGAACTCTATTCCTTAAAAATCTGTATAGCGAAAGTATTATAACTGAATGTAAAAGAGTGTTTAAATTGGGACTATCTTTACTTTTACTGAATCTATGTTATTTTAAGAAACATTTTAAAGACATTTTTTGATAGTCTAATTGTTTGTGCAGGTGGTTATGACCCCCTAACCCACGGAGGTTACGGTGCAGTCGACGACTACGCTCCTTACCCCCACCTGGTCACCTCCGCCTCGCCCGACTACAGCCGCAACGCCTCTCGCCAAGACTACACGCCTGACAAACTGCGCCGCCGAGAACACCATATGGGTAAGTTGTTGAAATAGATCAAATGAATAATCTATTGAAGATTAATAGTAGACCTTTTTTAAATCTTTTTTAAGACTGAGGTTGGTAAAACTGTTGGTATTTCTTCTCTAAGATCATATTCACCTCTTTGTGTCATGATGCATTAGTGAAAAAAAATGTCTCAAAGAGTACTATGGATTTACTTTTCTATTAAAGATGTACTGGTATACAGAAGGAGTATACTTGTAGATACCAGTGTATTTATTGTAAATGAGAGATGAGCAAAGGGTGGGTGTTGATATCAAAACCATTCAATGCTTACCAACCATAATTCAATATTTTTCAGTTAATATTTTATTTTATTTTGTTATTATTTGAATTTAATTTTAAATATAAGCTATAATCTTTGACTAATGTAGTTGATAGTTTTATGATCCCTGGTGAATGCTTGTTTATCTCTTTATAAATTTAAAGATTTAAATATTGGACAGTAAAATATATCTTTCTGAAATACTGAATATTTTATATCAGTGATTACTTTGAACATTTTGTGATGTTGAAAAAAAAATGTAGCTCACAAATAAAAAAAATAGTACTAAATTAAAGAATAATCATTATTTTATTTGTATTCAAGTTCTTAAACAATGATGTTTTGTACAGAATCCCCCTACCATGACGTCAGTGGGCTGCCCGATCCTTACCATCTCATGATGGAGAACGAAGAAAACCACCCGAAAAAGCCACATCAAGAAGTTTCCCTTTCACTGGACGAAAGTTTAGAGTCCGGCTATTCAACTCCCAACTCCCGTAGCAGACGAATCATCCGTGAAATCATCGTCTGAGCGAAACCCCTCTAACCCTCATAGGGTTTGAAAATGTACATTTGTTTACAAGGTGCTCCAAAGCCGTTGTAAATGTTTTGAAACATTCAATAATTGTAATTAATGTTATATTATTGAATTTTATCTGTAAATAGATTTTGTATATAAACCGTTAGGATTAATCTATTTATCAACTGACTGAAATTTCCCGAACACATGTATATACTAACTGTATATAACAGAATCAGATCAATGTGTAACAAACGAAAGAAATTGTAGTATGAAGCTACTTTTCTTTAGAAATATGAAGAAACAATGATTTTTAGGAATGGGGTGGGTTGGAAAATTAAAGTATTTGCGAACAAAAATATTCTTTGAAAACAAACTACTTGATGGAACGGTTGGTTTTCATGCAATAAGACTGAGATGTGATGTAGAGATGCTTGTAAACAGCATGGTTATTCATTAAAGGTGTGAAGGAGGCTTTGGATTCAAGTAGGGTGGATAGACCGGCTTCAATGCGTCAACGATATATGAATATTTTTTTTTTTTTATCATCTTGCGTGTTAACTTTGACACTAAGGTGTCAAAAATGTTACTTAAAAGACATTTTTATTTGTAAAGAGTACAGATGTTTTTTAATTCTCAATAGAAGAAATTTTTAATGTTACAAATAACTTGCAAAATTATAAAAAAGGCTTGCAGAACAGAAACTTTGTGATATGTGTGTTTGAGTCTGTTTATAGGTGTAAAAGACAAATTTTCCGCAATATTTATTATTTAGAGACAAAGTATGTTACTTAGAATATTGCTTTTGTTGTTTTTATTGTACTTTTTGTGACAATATGATATAATTATGATATTATAAAGATCAATTTGTGGAAACTTTTGTCATTTAAAATTGTGGCGAAATTTTGTGTTGTGTTGAATTATACAAAAATTATTGGTAACAAATAAGTTGAAATTCAGAATGTGAAAAAAAAATTTTATTAAACACTTTCTGGTTTCTCCTTGAATATAATAAATTCAGTGCAATAATAAAAATAAAAATCATTAGCGCTCAAAACTATGTTTTATGTTTTTAATTTTTTGTATATAAATAATTTATGTGTAAAAAAAGAGTCAAACTTAGGATTCTTGAAAAGTTACATATTTTCTTATATTTTACTGACTAGATACTACTACTTTTTCTATTTTACAGGTGTGTTTGACTATGTTAAACTATTATTAAAATTATAATATTTACTTATTTATTTAGAAAATTCATACTTAATGGTAAACATAACGAAGTAGTAAAAAGTAAATTTAAGCTGAACCCGTTAAACTTTACAATGTTTGCAGTAAGTGAATATTTCGTTACTTCTGACACAATTGATTAAAATAAAATAAATAGTAGTATCTATTAAAGTAAAATGAAGAAAAAATTATTTTAATTTGTTTCGGAGGGAGTTTGTATATAATTTGCAGAGTGCCATGATTTCATTTTGAAGCTCAAATATTGTGCGATGAGTTATGATAAAATAGGTACTGACTTTTCTATTCTGCTCACTATATTTTTCTTCTGCACATTCTTGAACGCACAAGTTTAATTTTAAATAAAGTTAAGGGGGTGTAAAAGACTATATTAACACCGCTTTGATGTAACCTAGCAATTAATTAAGTCTTGAATTTAAATGACTTCTTTACTTCCAAGGTTACATGTGTAAAAATATACTTTAATAGAGGTTTGTGCATTTGTTCAATAATTTTGTAAACATTTTCACTGTTTTTTTTTCATTATTGTAGATCATCATTAAAATGTAAGTTGCAGTAAAAATATTTTATATTAAAACTCTTACTTTTTAAAAAAAACGATTTTTTTTATAATGTTCTACTGTGGTTGGAAGTATTTAGCTGTTTTCACCAGTATTACAATACAATATTATTTCATTGATTGATATTTGAACACTCTGATATTTTACAATATTTCAATTGGCCTTATGCAAAATCCTCTATTTACTAGATTCAAACCTTTTGATGGGTTAGCATTTCCCATATCATAGATAAACTCTAAACCCTCTTTAAAGACTAACTACTCTTTAAAATAACATCTTATCTAAAAACTGACTGCTACTTATTTTTTACAATTTTTGTTGTTGTGTTTTTACATTTTTCTCTTAACCGTGTTTGAATCATTCTTGCAAGATCTCATAAGTTGTTATTGTTTTGTAGAAAATGTTATAAAATCTAAAAAAATAACTATTTTCTAGACAGATATTTTTTATCTATGTTCTGTATAAGGAGCCCATTAGTTTTATTTTATATGTCTGTATATGTGTAATTTTTAAGACATCTGCAATTTCATAATTGTTTTTACGTGTACAGTTTCATGTTTCTATGTTCTTTTATATAAAATAATAAAACAAAAATGTACAGAATCGTGTTATTTGGTGTATTCCTTTGTGTATCTGTTAATTTTAGGTCATATTAGATTTTGGGTTTTCAAAGAGAAGAGGTTTTTTGTAATTCAAGCTCACAAGGCAATAACGATATTAAAAATTTGGGTTTTAAAATAAATTTTACTTTTGAATATTTTTTCAACATTAAGTTTTTTTCCTTTGAAACATTGAACTTACCTATATTGAAATACAAAATACAGTTTTGAAATAATTACAAGCTATATTGAATTAGTTGATAAATAACTGTCTAAAAAGTAACAAAATAAACATAACTAATTACTGTAAACAAATAAATACATTTTTGCAAATAATTGCAGAATCTTAAACTTTTTAAATGACACAAAAACTAACCTTCTCAACAAATATTTGCCAATAGAGAAGTTTTTTTTTTCAGTGTTATAGTTTGTATTAGTGTTAGCAAATATTATATTTATCATAAAGTTGCCTTTATTTATCAACTTTTTATAATAGTTTATGTACGAATTGATTTTATGAACAAAACAATTTTAAGACAAAAAAAATTACAAGAAACAAGCAAAATGGAAGATAAAGTTATTTTTACTTAATAACTTAATTAGTTTTTATAACTCACAAGCTAGATTTAACATGAGTTAAAACAAGCATTGGATCCAAACCAGGCCATGTTAGGAATTACCAAAGTCCGCCATTATTGGTTAAGTTGGTTCACAAGGTATTAAGTCTGTGATCTACAGTGTAATCTATCCAACAAATAGTCTAAAGCTGCTAAAGACAAGACTAACTTGGTTAACATATAACATAAGCAAATTCGATTATAAAAAGTAAAGTTAGTTTAGTAACATTAATAACTTAATCAAATCAGAGTGGTAACACATTTTGTTACTTAAATACAAATCAGTGAATTATATTATTTTTCTTAAACATCAAATAATGTTTTAAATTTAAGAATAAAACAAATAATTGTTCTTCCAATGTTCATAAGATGGTAATTAATAATACCTTATTAAGTTTGATGTTATCGGCTATTTACTTGTACAAGGGTTATTTAAAGTAAATTTTAGGCTATCTTTAGACTGTATGAAAGTCTTAGAAGTTTAATTTGAAATCATAATAATTGTGAACTTTATGTAGCAAGTAATAAAATATTACAGTATGTAATGGGAAACAGAGGTCTGTTCACCTCGAAAATGATTTACTCAGGGTTTAGTTGGAACTGCAATATATCAAACCTACCAACATTCTGAACTGTCTTGCGTGTAGCTGCGGATTTTTTAGTAGAGTTTGGAAATAAATATACCAGGTTAAACTAAACCTAGGAATAGAATCTCAATATACACATTTAATAAAACAGCTGAACCTATTTAAGAGTCTTGAATTATTTCAAACAGCTGCTAGTAAATATCCCAAAATATTTTTTCAAACACAAGAGCGATTGTAATTTAAATATTTAGTAAACTGTGGGACTATAAATATTCTTTGTATTAAAAAAAAAAATTATTTTACGAGTTACAACGTCTAGGCTCCAAGTCATGATAAGTGTGAAAAAAATGGTTACCTATCTTAAAATAAGCATATTTTTAGAACTATAAATAAATAATAAATTCTTTATTGTCTTGACAATATACATTGAATCGACATTACAATTATTTATAGTGCAGTAAAAATAAGAGAAAAATTCCATAAACCTAAAAAAAATTAGCACTACCGGGGAATTTGGTACAGATGTTGGGTGTACCTTCCTTTTGAACATACTAAAAGTCCCCTAAAATTGAAGCTGTGCTACGGCCGCCATATTGGAAAATGGCGGCATATTTCTGTATTTTTCGCTATAGTGACTTTATTATTAGAGATACAGGAAAAAGCTAAATATACAAAATGTAGGTCATCTAAAAATACACATTTTTTGTATTTACCATCTTTCTCTAAACCCAACGGTTTTTGAGTTATTTGTTATTAAGTATATTTAGTTTTTTTCTATTTATCAAAAATAGGTGAAACACATGGAAATTGACCGTTACTTTCAAGGATTATGATAATTTATCCTATTAAGTTAAATAGTGTGATACTATAAAATCTAAAAATTTAAGCTTATTTCATGAGTAAAACAACTCCGCCACAGCAAACCTGCACACTCAGCAAATCTCCATTTGATTAAATGTTTTATTAATTGTATTTAAATAAAATTAGATTCAACAGGTACCTAGGTTTGCTGCTTGCTACAGGTAGGTTATTATAGTGTGTTTTTTTAGTAAAATATCAATAACTTAGTATAAACTAATTAATTTTCCAAGTTTGATCATAATAAATCTATAGACAAACAAACTGCAACAGTTACTAATTCATAATAATATCATGGTATCTTAAGATTTACAATTTACAAATTTAAATGTACAAATTTTGGTTTTGTTTACTAAAAATATGGCGATTATTCGTCACTTTTCGAATACTAACCGAAGGGGTTTTCAAAAGGAGATGAAGCAAGTAATTTAAGTACTGTAATATTAACTCGTACCAAGTATCGGAAATATTGTATGCAGTGAGGAAATCAACCATATTTTGTAAACTACGCAATTCTCATATTAATATTTCATACTCATTTTTACCCATTTAATAAATTAACATTTTAATATTTTGATAACACTACCACTATCACTCTGTTATCAACTAAGTGGGATGAATAATTGTCGTAAACCTTGAAAGTAACCGCCGATTGCGATGGGTTTCACCGATTTTTGATAAATAAAACTAACTATACTATACCATACTTAATTAGTCACCAACATGAACTAGACACGAAAAACGCCCTTCCAAATTTACAATGGGATGTCAAGTATAGTTAGTTAGTGTGGTGGTGCTATCAAAATGCTAAAATGTTAACTATTAAATGGGTAAAAAATGAAGATAAAACATTAATATGACTATTGCGTACTTTACAAAATATGGTAGATTACCTTACTGCATAAAATATTTTCGGTGCTTGGTACGAATTAATATTACTTAAATAACAGGCTCCATCTCCTTTTGAAAACCCATTTGGTTAATATTCTAATCGTGACAAATAATCGCCATCTTTTTAGTAAACACAACCAAAATTTGTATATTCAAATTTGTTTATTGTAAATTTAAAACTCCCATGCTACTCTTATGAATTAGTTAACTGTTGCAGTTTGTTTGTTTATAGATATATTTTGATCAAACATTGAAAATTAGTAATTTTATAGTAAGGTATTGATATTTTACTTAAAAAACATACTGTACTATAATAACCTACCTGTAGCAGCAAACCTAGGTACCTGTTGAACCTAATTTTATATATATACATTTTTTAATAAAACATCCAATCAAATGGAAATTTGCTGAGTGTGCAGGTTTGCTGTGGAGGAGTTGTTTTACTCATAAAATAAGCTTAAATTTTTAGATTTTATAGTATCACACTATTTAACTTAATAGGATAAATTATCATAATCCTTGAAAGTAACGGTCAATTTCCATGTGTTTCACCTATTTTTGATAAATAGAAAAAAACTAAATATACTTAATAACAAATAACTCAAAAACCGTTGGGTTTAGAGAAAGATGGTAAATACAAAAAATGTGTATTTTTAGATGACCTACATTTTGTATATTTAGCTTTTTCCTGTATCTCTAATAATAAAGTCACTATAGCGAAAAATACAGAAATATGCCGCCATTTTCCAATATGGCGGCCGTAGCACAGCTTCAATTTTAGGGGACTTTAAGTATGTTCAAAAGGAAGGTACACCCAACATCTGTACCAAATTCCCCGGTCGTGCTAATTTTTTTGGGTCAAAACATATTTTTACTGTACTATTAGTTTTTAGCTTAGGTTTAGTATTGATTTAAACTCTTGATAATTTCATTTTTTAATTTTGGTGCATTTATCATTGAAGTCCTCAATAGAATAGATCGAATCTTCAGTAAGGATTTGTTTTTAATTTTGTTTTGTATTCTTTTAATTTTAAGTTTTGAATATTAATTGGTAATTTGTTAATAAATTTTCTTCCATTTATAATAATTCACTATGTTAATGTTTCAAATGAGTTTAGATGCAACATAATATTTCATTTAGAATTAGTTAAGAATGAAGAAGAAGTTACCATAACAGATAAAACTAAAGCTAAAAAATTAAACTTATTGAAACTAATGCTGTTTATTTCATCTATGAATATATCTATCCATCTATATACTTAATGCAATAATTATTTTCTCTGTGTTGCTGCGATATAATTAATTTCATAAAAGATACTTCCTCTGTATGCACTGAAGTTGTAAAAAGTGTTAGTAATGTAAAAGAGTTCTTTTTTTTGTAGTCTTAAGCCCTTTTCAACTCTAGAATGAAACTCATTTATCATAAGAGATAAAACCAAAGCTAAAAACTAAAACTTTACCTTTTTGAAACAAATACTGTCCATCTCATATATCTATTTAATGAAATAATGATTTTCTCTGGTACATCCCTTTTTCGCCCGCTTAACCAATTTATACAATTGAGGTGTTAAAGCTTATGATCTAGTGGAGTGGATGATGATAATGAATGAATGAATGAATGAATGAAAAATTTCTTTATTGCTGCTTTTATTAACATGTCCAGATACCACGCAGGACATCTGCCAAAAGAAACACTTGTAACTGTAACTGAGTGATGATGATAATTAAAAAGGAAATTACCTCCAGGACTTCACCATATAGCCTCTTTTTTTTATTTCTGGAGAGTGCTTTTAAAGGTCCAGTTTTGCTGTTTAACTTTCTTTAATAACAGTTTTAAATGTGAATCGGTTGACTTAAACAACTGGTTATCTTCAGTTATCCGTTTAACAACAGTCAGATTATAAAAGAGATAAACAATTTATGAAAATGAGGCTAATTTTATCCATAATTTAAACATGATTCAGGTATGTAAATTATACTCTTCATGGAATACAATGTTCATAAAATAAATCTTTAAATATGAAATTAAATAATAAATATTTTAATTATAT